CGCCATAAGTCTAATTGATCATCTACCGCCCCGATGACAGGCGCTTTTGCCTCCTTCTCTCTCGTAATGCCGCGGACCGACCCCACATCATGTGACAGGGACCTGTTCTTGTGACTTTCTTAAATTTTTCGCCACTAAGCCTCTTCAATCCTTTGACCTTTGCCCCCACGTTAAAGGGGCAGGCAATAGACGAAGAAAGTAGGATCACGGACACAAAATGTCGTACGGGTTACGCGGTACTAATGTACCTGTACCGAGTAGTTACAGTCTGGTGAAGAGGTAACCCATGTATGTATACCTACTCCGTAGTCTACTCCGTACATGACCCGTTGTCAACTGCCGGTTTATCTCCCCCCAAATATTGACTCCGCCCTTCGCCACATCGATAGTCATCTCAATTCGGACCAGACTTTCACTCAATATCCCTCGATGAGGCTGGGTTTGGTTGAGGTTAAATGGTATAACTAAGTTTGGAGACCGTTTCTCATACGGAGCAAATCGAAGAGCATTTCGATTTTCTATTATCAAATCAAGAGAAAATACCTCTAACCGTGAGTTTTCGGCAACTTTCCTCGGGTCAATGGTAGATGAAGCATTTAGTAGAACCTATGCAAGCGATTACTCTATTTAATTATTATTACCTCGATCTAAGACAAATTATAAACATTCAGCTGTACCATGAAAACCCACCCCATCGGGCGCAACTTTGGCAGTCAACGGGTAGATTTTTATTCCCTCAGCCTGGAGGACGAAATAACCTTCTACATAGACTTCTACACCGGACACATGGAAAAAGCCCATGTCATGGAAGGGTCACCTGGAGCCCGAAGAGTGGTTGGTTGAAGAAGCCCGACTCTGTTTTGGTCACCGAGTTCCAATTGTATTCTCGAAGGTTGCCTTTTCCCCTTTGTCCAGACCTCTGGGATCATTGGGGGGGGACTTGTCCGGTCGGCGGTTTCATCACCTTCTGGTTGTGATAGAAGTTAAATTGCGGGAACTTTGCCTTTAATTTCACACCCTCTCTTTCGCTTGTTAAACGAAGAGTATATCTACACTTTCGAGGAGTTGAAACATAAAGTAAAGTACGGATTCAAGAAATACGGGATCGCCGAGCATCCCCATACTTCCCCCATCTAAGCTTAACTAGGTTCTATAGTACTCATCATGACTACCTGCTATCTGGACCATTTTAGTCCATTCATCAATTAGTCAAACGTAAGAGATAATTTCCCCAAAAGGACTAAATAAAAAAAATAAAAATAAAAAAAGCTAGATAGACGAAGAAGCAAAAGACAAAAAGCTCAACCGAAGTACCTAGAAACGCACCAGGAATGTCAAATGTAACCATCATACGTATCCCAATTCTTCTGGAAGAGAGGGAAATCAAGAAAATGGAGAATCTTGCTTGATTCTCCCCTTCCTGGTAGACCCTGCAGCAAGCACTACACCTGATACCCTTTGGACCTGTTCAGTGGGTTAAGGCGCAGCTACGTGGCTCGCTCTCTCTCGTCACCGTGGAACGATTACGTGCATGGATGATGGGCAGCTGAACAGCTTTTCCCGACCTCATCATCTTCATCATTCATTCATCTGTCGACTGTCTCACGAGTCTGGTTGCATGTATGTAAACAGTTTGAAGAGGCGAATTTCCACAGAACGGGAAGTTTAAGATCCTGCCCTTGGTTGAAGCTGATACCGAGGTAAATTCTAATTTATTTTATTTGACTTTATTTTTTTTCTGAGGGTTATTCTCTTTGGATTTGCTAACGGCAAGGTTTGAAGTCTAGCGATGCCGACGCTATTTTGGCAAGTATTGTGTGCATGGGATATGCATGACAGACGTGGAGATTTCAATGTGGATTCAGTAGTTAGCACTAGTAGTTGGAGGTAGGTACTACCGTCGATTACCTAGATAGTAATACTGGAGGTAGTGCCAACTATCAAGCTTCGAAGCAGGACAATGTGTATGTATGTACCGTCCCCGTAGCTACTGTACATACTCACTGCCCTATAATATTCGACGGATCCCGACTATTGATTCTATTTCCGGGAATGGCCAGAGAGTAGGGCGTACTATACGAAATGCGGCATTAATATGAGCCCATTAGCATCGTATAATGTCCTTTGGGCCCATCTAGCGAAATTTCCGGCAACTGGGATGAATGGGGGAGAAAAAAAAAAAAAAAAAAAGGGCGCTGGATGAGAGGGTTACAGGGCTTTAGAAAGGTGACAATAAGCCGAGCCACCGGCCCTCCTCCCCCGTCAATCATGTCTTCCACTCCAGTTTCTGTTTTCTGACTCTTGTCACTGTTTCTTTCTTCGCGGAAATTACACATACGAATCCGGTGCATTTCTTATGGTGAAGCTCAACCGAGACAGCATCGCACCGCCAATATGATCCGATAGGCAAGAATCATGGGCAGGACTTTGCTGAGATGAAACCGAATCTTACAACTCATCAATCAGGTGTTCCTCGGTGCTGGTGCCCTTGACGTGGATCATCACATGATTGATAAAACGTGCGAATTGTGTTACTCTGGGGCTGACAGAAAGTTGAAAGAAGAAAAAAGGGTAAAAAAAATGAAGGGAAGAGAAAGAGAAGGCGTGAAGGTGACGGACGGTACGAAAGGGTTTTGAGTGATAGGTGGATCGGGGAGATCTCCTTCATCCCAGTGCCCCGAACCACTTATCTGGGGAACTGGGGTTATAGATCAAACTGTGGCGTTCTCGTTCCAGTATTGTGAGACAGGGGATGAGGGAAGGAAAAGGAAAAAGTTTTTAGAGCCCCGTGACACTCAGAAGTAAAATAATAATTATAATATTAATTATAATAATTAATAAAAGAAAGCTAAAGGTAAAAGCGCGGCTAAAAGCTAAAGTACCAGGAAAAAGAAAACATAGAGAATGGGTCATGTCCAGCGGGTTTTATGGATAAGCCTTCAATATGTATGTTGTATGTACGTACTCTATGATCATTCCAGAGTCTCTCCGAATCCTTGGGTTATATTGATCTCATTTGACTCTGCTCTACTGGTGACAGCTGGCAGCCTTCACACCTTGTGACTGTTGTTAGGATAGGAAGGGAGCAGCTGTGACAGTGCCCTTTGACAGCCCCTTCGTGTTGCTATTTACTCCTGGGAGCCAATACGACATCTCGTTAGGGATATACGTGGAAGTGATGACTTGTAGCACTGAGCAATGCTTCATACTCTAGGTGGAAAGGGCCCGCATGATAGGTGAAGGGGAACTGGGAGATTGAACACTGGACTGTGCTCGCTAGGATAGGTACATAGCAACAGAGATCAATCAAGGCACCGATAAGACCCATGCATAATTGAACACCCATAGTTGAAATGATCAGCAAGATCGGAAACTGAGTAGCGGTTCCCCGGTATGCGACTCAATCTGGGGGGAAGTTGAGGGTACATACCACCGGTTAATAGCCACACAGGCAAGCATTGTTTGGGCCATTTTCGGCCGGGATGTGTCAACCAAAAATGCCGACGTGTCAGAAGGATGGAAGTACAGCTAGAATTCGCAAGGGTAGGGTGATGACGACGGATAAACTTCAAATTAAATTCAACGGCCGGGAAAAATGGCCTTGCGCTAATGAAATCATCTGGCAAGCAAAAAAGAAAGCAAAAAATGTGGCTTGGGAAGTAGTCCAGAACATGGACCCGGGGCAATTAATGTATCAAATATGGCCGAAAACATGTCCGTGGCGAACGCAATTGCATCAAGACAGCTCCAGCAGGAAGTCAGCAGGACTCTTGAAGTAATGCTAGACAATTTAATGGGGTGGCGCTTGGGGAAATGGACTGACACCAAACAAGCCGGTTTGAAAGCTTGCAGAAGTACTGTATGAAGGTACCTAAGCTATGAACTAGACCTGTACGTCAGTATACCGAGAATCAACATGGATAATGGCACCAGCATTCAGAGGGGTCTGCGTTCAATCATTATGGAAAGACTCCTCAAGACATAGTGGAGTGATATCAACAGCAACCACTCTGCGCCAATCATTACGGCCCCGTTTTTGAGGAGTCAAGTGACCCCGTGACCGATGAAGTGAACTGCAAAGGGAATCCATCTTCCTCTTAGTCAGCAAGAACAGAGGTCACAGGACAGTCGATCTTTGTCTGAATGTTTGTCTAGAACCAGTTGCTTCCATTTTCCTCTTTGCAGCTCTCGGTCTATTTGTTATGTATCTGGATATTTTTAGGTCCTGATGCCCATTCACTACCATTCAGTATCAATGTTCATTCAATCTCTATATCGAGGGAATGGTCAGCAAGCAGCTTTGTGCACTACAGTACATCTACATTTATACTGAAGTCATACTGCCATGTAAAAACCGCAAGATGGTTGCGGTAAAGTGGATCAATTCGTACAGGAAAGAAAGCCTGTTGGCTTCCTTTGGGGTAATAGTACAACCACCAATGTGTGATGATTACCCCCAAGTTCCGTACTTTTTTCTTGGGTGGAACTCCGGAAACAGGCCGGTAATCTTACTGAGCGTTATGACAATGTATGAAATACCAACCGACCCACGGGGGTACTCCGGAAGTAACACACTAAAAAAAATAAAATTGAATATTATTAAATAAAAACTAAATTTTATTTTTCATTTTTTTTTTTTTTTCTATTTTCTGAAAATCCAGGTCCGGACCATGGAGAAGACGAAGGCGCGACTAGGATCCATCCTTTTACTTACCGCCATCCCATCCCCCATACCTTAGAACCTGTCCCTCGGTACCCTCGTTGGGCTTTTACTGTGGGTGGCCACCTCGATATCCTTTTTCTTTGCGCTCCTCCCCTGGTACCGTTACCACTCTCATACGCCTTCCCTTCCCACCATCTCCACCGACCCGTCATTCACTACGATCTATGCTATTCTCTCTTTTCCTCCCTTCTTAGTTCGCTCCACCTACTAAGTCTCTCCTCCCCCATATTCCTCGTTTCAATTTTTTCACTTCTCACTTTTCCTCTTTCCTCCTCCTCACCCCAATTCTCCCAGCCGGAAACGACAATCATCCCGGACCTTCTATACTTCCCTCGGTCTCGGCCCATATACATCCTTCGACTACTAACTCATCATACCTCGACTTTTGCTTCCGACCGTCGTTCGCTTTTGGCCGATCTCTTCCGCACTGTAATTTGTTTAGTGCGGGTCTAAAGGATTGAATACCGTTACGACCTGTTCAAACCTGGGACATCACTGTCATTGCTGGTTAAACCTCAGGACATACTGTACCGGAGGTCCAAGTTCAACCCGTTGCATTTGATAGCTAGGGCGCCATTTTCACTCAACCGGACAATTGCAAGACGTTGCAAAACCAAAAACTTCAGTCGGTGTCTTCTGGGTGGATCCTGAAGGGCTAGAGAGATTTTCCACTTCATCACCTTCGCGCCGTACGACCACGATCGGGGGAGACGGCGACCCCGAACTGAATTTCTGCGAGGAGAGAGTTGCTAGGAACATCATTGTAAAGCTCGGGTTGAATTTTATACGAAATGCCTTCACGTTTAACTACTCCTGTCGTCACTGTGGACACAGCAAAGATCCACAAAGTGGACACGGCCAATGCGCAAAGCCTTCATGGCATGTGGATGGGTGAGTTATATTTTCTTGCAGGTTAGTTGCGATTTGGAATTTAAATTGACCGTTCGTTCCAGTCTTTTCGAAATGTGCAGATTACATGGAAGAGGGCCGTCGTCTTGAAAACCTAAGTTGGAGACTATGGACACGTGAGACTTTTTGCGTGGAGCCGGCGGCGTCGAGCGAAGCCTCGGTTTTGCCACTCCGTCAGGAGTCCGCTGACATGCCAGAACTTTCTGCCAGTGTTGAATCTGCTGCGTCTGAGCAAGCGGAGAGAATTGAGCACCATATCAAGCGCCCTAAGTGTGATATCAAGCCTGCCGTTGTCCGTGACGATTCTATGGCAAGTCTCGGCCGTGGAAAAGAAAAGCATATTACCTCGCTAGGTCTGGAACGCATGGTATTGAATATTAAAGAGAAGAAGAACCTCGAACCTATCTCGTCCGTAATGGCTACAGTCTCGCCCCCTGTCATTGATATTACGCCTCGGCCATCTACTCCAACCCCTACCCCTCCCTCTGAGTCAACTGCGAGGCGGACACCCTCGCCATCTCCGTCATTTCCTGTCATTCAACAGCCGAATCATTCTACCGAGTCTTGTTCGACCACTGCACCAGATTGTAACGATAGTGATGCTGCTAATGCTAATGCCTCCGATACTAGCGTGTCTTCCTCAGGAATCCTTCCATCTCGATGCGAGTTGATCAAATCTCCCAGCATTATCCGTGGATTTTCTCCTTCCCTGATCTCGTCGTCTTATCGGTCGCAGCCTAAAATGGCTGCTGAACCCAGCCCCGCAAAGGCTTCCGCCCAACTAAAGCCAACGCCCTTTAAGAAGAAGGGTGGGATGTTTACATTGGGTGGTTCTTCAGGTGACGACGACGAGAGCTCCTTCGAGGACCGTATGGCTTTGCGTGGTCCCCATCGCAGTTCTCTGTCTGACGAATTATCTAAGTCGGGGACTATGCAGCCTAGTCCTAAAAAGAAAGTCACTTCTTTCAAGGAACAAGATGGCACGATAAAGCCTGTTAAGGAGCCCTCTGGAAGCAATGATGAGGATGCTGTTGAGAGCGAGGACGAGGTTGACGAGAGTGCTATTGAAGATGAGGATTCTGACTGGGAGGACTCTATCACTGAGAGTGGACGTTCGAGCCTCGACGAGAGAGACATGTTCCAGCGGGTTGATTCAAGGCCCAACCTTGTCTCGCGACGCTCCCTCTTGACAATGATGATGCACCAGCCAACTAAAATGGGAGCCCCTACTCGCTCCAGTCCAGCCTTGCAACGGTCGCGCTTGACATCACCAAACGGCCCATCCATCCCCGCCTCACCGCCAGAAGACGATGAGGATAACTTGACGATGCGTGGCCCCGGTGTCCCTCGATCGAAACCGATAGTAATGAAGCCTGCTCCGCAGTCAGTCGCTCACTCCCCGAGGACCACGCGACGGAACATGCTTGCTACCGAACTAACGGAGTCACTTCGACGTCATTTACTTTGGGAGCGGCAGCAGAAGAGTGCGACTGCCAATGCCTTCCTCAAGCGACGACACACTGCACATGACATGGCGAACTTGCAGGAATATCCCAATCCTAAGGGCGCACAAAAGGGACAGGGTGTTGGCGTGTCCAACCCTGGTGCAGCCAATCAGAACAAGGACAAGGATATGGCGAAGACAGCTTCCTTCAATCAGTATACTGACTTTGGTCCGTGGGAGTACCACGCCAAGGGTTGGTAAACGACTACACCGATCGCATTTCGGAGCGACCCGACCAGTCACCCTCTCGATAACGCCGAAAACAACCTGTTTTCTACATTTTCCTACTTATCACCTTTTGTTATCTGTGTCATGACATATCCTTCCTCGGATGGGTAATGTTTATTGGCTATGATACCCAGACTTTCAACGCGTTTCTTTTTCATCTATGTAAAGCCGCCGATTGAATATCCTTGTGACACGTACGATCACGACTCTGCATTGCATTTTGGCGCAACTATGGATTTTATCGTTACTTTCGACCTAATTTTTTTTCGGGTCTTTGATTATTTTCTCAGCTCCTTTTTTCTACTATTTCTTCTCATGGCATTGTGTGGCTATCCGTTATATTGATATTATACGAGCCATATTGAGGACAAAACCTCAAGCGCGATTAATCATGTACAGATGAACTCCTTTTACCTTCCATGGCAGACGGAACTGTTGCGATTCGAATTTGGCATGGGTTCTTATGGTTTTCTCTTTCCAGTACGGGTTGGGTGGAATTCTAAAAGAGGCCTTTTATGGATGTCATTGCTGCGTCTCGTGATTGCGTTTTAGCAGAAAACGTCATTGGTATCATTCGATGCATTTGATGCCCTTGGCTTTTCTTTTCTTTTCTTTTTTTTTTTTACCCTTTCATTTCTTGTTTTGTTCTGATACCAGATACCATACATATGCTTTTGATTTTGATGCGCACCTTTCTACTGGGTCCCCATTTGGGGGGGTTAGCCCAGTCTGCACATGCCATGTACGCTAAATTGTGATTTACGAAAAAAAAGTGAAGATTACTCGAATAGAGTCCAATGACTAAAACTTATCTGAAATATACCTTATGGATTGCATAGTAGCTAAACTTATATACTAGAATAGAGACTTCGAACCTTCTGGCCGGACCAGGATGATGTGCACTGACACGTATGCGCACAAGCCATGTATTAATTAAGCGTCCGCCACCAATATTATGAGCAGGGATCGAACTGACCACCTAGGGCTGGGGCAGGTGGCTTTCTGAGTGGTTGGAAAAACATCCGCGGCACCGGCGATATCTTCAGAATTCGTACGTCTTGAGATCTAGAATCATCGCATTGATCCCTTCACATGCACTGGGCTATGCCTCTTAATTATGGTGATGATTTCATCGATTTTCCCCTATGACGGACGGGGATGTGTGATCGGAGGGTTTCCCACACCATCCCATCTCGTTTTCTTTATTGATTAAGTTTTTCCTGTTTGTTTTCCAGACCCCTACATGAACTTTTATTTTTCTAAATTTGTCTCACCTGTCATACAAGATGGGATGAATTGTCCTCGCCTTGAGGTATGACGGGAACGAGGCGGCGGAACCTTTCGGGTTGAATGAGGTAACCTGAGAAAAACTGTAACATCATCTGCCACATCAAGTTGAGATATTCCTTCTCTCCTGGGAAAGGAAGATAAGATCATTGGAGCTATGATCTATCGGTGATGCTTGACGCCCCTCCTCAAAGAAGGATCGAATGTCGGGTTCTAGTCCGTATTGCAATCGTGATTCACGTCGCATTGAGTTTCCGGGTGACTACATTATGATATTATGAGGGGAGACGTTGAGTGAAAGCTTTTTGCATCCATGAGTTTGGATCTGGCATAATTTGTCATTTGGGTTGGATTTCCATGGGGAACTGTAACCTTGACCTAGTATATCATCTTCGTCTGGTAGTTGGCCTGGGCACAATTAGTTTCTCTTCCCTCGATTTAGGCCCAGGGGTAAGTGGCAGAGACAATCTGAATATCTACGCTAATCTGGAACCTAATGGTCCATGATGTCTTGGTGGTTAGGGCTAGGATGAAATCTCTCCAGGACACAGGGTAACAGCACTTACTCCGTACGGTCTCCACAATCTCCCTGCTTGTGCTTGAGACTAGAATGAGGCGTGTGCCACATACAGGATGATTGAGGACAGATTATCATCTTATCAAGGCGAATGCTGCAGATCATATGCTGTCCGGTACATGTGCAGGATTTCTCAACGGAGAGTAAATTCATCTCTTGGCGGTTGATCTACAGGGAAAATGCCTGCGATTGGAAGCATAATTCTCCGCGTGTTGGAGATTCTTTTCTTTTCTTCTATCTGTCATATCTATTCAAGTGATGACCGGAAAGTTTTTATTCATTTGGCACCTTCATGGAATCAAAAAAATTATAATTAAACTACCAGTCATAGTATCAATGGAATTGTTTGGTTGATTTTGTATCCGGTGCGCAGTGCTCCGTAGGCCTCCAGCGGTATGATGTAACCAATATGTTGCATTGGACTGAACAAGATCAACGGCAATACTACAATGGGGCTGCAGAATGAGCCAACCCACTTGAAATGCAATCTCCAACACAGTAGTCCGTAGTCCGTAATACTAAACTAGTAATGTGCAAAAAACCGATACTACATGATTATACATCCCACTAAGGTGCACAATCCAGACCTTAGACCCATCATCCTACTGCAGAGCCTCCCCACAAGCGAAACACACGCATTCCTGAATTTCCCGATTCTTTCCCAAACAGGCTAAGCAGGGGAAAATTTTGACATCCGGTTGTGCCCGAGAAAACGTGGAGCAAGACGTGCCAGGCTCCAGTTGTGGCTGGTACGTATCAACCAGGCCTTGTCAGTGGAGCCGACTGGGGGTTGGATTGGGGGTAGTCTTTTGCCTAGAAGAGTCTACTGTGTGGTCAGGTGGACAGAGATGACCATACAAGTTTTACGGTTCTCATTTCTGCCTGAGTCATCTTCAGCTTAGAGAGCTGCGTGGTTGCGGGTCGTGTGTGGGTCAATTAAAAGGTCGGGCAGATGACTGATTCGCTGAGTGGAGTGTTGCTCTTTAGAAGTTCACCGGTACTGATGTTATACTGTGACCATGTATGGGAATGACGGGTATCTGGTACTCCGGCCTGTTTTTGGTGAATAGCTGGAGATGGGGGTTTCGACTCAACTTAACTCTATACTAATAATTATGGTCCTCTTCTGTGCCTTGTTTTTGATGGATTAAATAGGGTTGATGTGTGGAGAAGGGGTTGCAATTGGTATACAATTATGACGATCTAGACAGATCCGCCGGATGCGGTTTGGGATGATTTTGAAACTGTTATCGCTTCTATAACTGCAAGCTACTAAGGTTTACCTTGTGGCTCTGTATATGGAAATTTCAAGGTGGCCCCGGTCGATATCATATCTTCAGCTCGGCATGCCGATGGTCTCGGGATATGGTGGAAGACTGTCCTCCGGCTCCCGATTATGCTTTTGCATCAGCTAAGCTGCTAACCACCTACCATGACTCTGGAATCTCGTGGGATGTCTTAGACTGTATGTATGCCACCCAGAATTTAATACAACAAAGCAGTGGCTGTAGGGAATTGAGTCTCATGACTCTGGTCTGTTGAGATCTAGAACATCTATCCAACAATAGCAAAACGTCTGTTTATTGGACAGACTTTAGCCAATGTCTATAACCACCGCACAAGTCAAGGTTAGTATCAGGGTCTAATAATATATTTCTTTATCTGTATGCTTACTAGTTCTTTCTAGCTCAACCTTTGTTACCTCTCGGACCATGTTTCACATTATCTTAGACCATCCCGACAATTCGGGATGAAGCCGAGCTTGGGCACCGCCAGACAACGGTCGGGTCTAGACACGATACTTTCAAAAATCTTTAGTGCTACCTATTATGGAGACTCGTATGATGGGCGAACATTGGGAAATATCAACGACTGAGCGGTGTGAAGCGGTAAAGCTTCTTGAAACTCTTATTCCATAGCAGCTCATTTGATAGTATTGCTGACTTGGTTATCAATGTGGAGATACACGGCTGTGAAAAAAACAAGTCAGGCACCCCATTGCATATATTAAATCTACCGAACTAAACTATGCACAGTAACCCGCGCAATACATCCAAAACCCACTTAGGCATATCTAATGCTGCCGTTCTAATTGGCGCCATAATACACATAAATATCACCTCCAGTAAGCACTCTCTTCACTTCCCTTATATGGCTATACACCCGATGCGGCCAGGATTCCGAACAGGGGCAATGCCAATATAAAGTAACAGCTTGCCATGGAGGCGTACAAATTCACCCTTGGTTTGGTCACATGTCACACCCACGGTCTTTCACGAGGAAAAACAAGGTTTTAAGGACGTGGCTTCGAGAAGTGTTCTAGAAGAGAAATGCATGGGCGTGGGATGGCAGCAATCGTGAGCTAGTAATATATAGGATTAGCGTGGTATTTTATCCAGTACCGGAAAAAAAATTCTTCTCACTTGTTTACATACACACATTGGATGGCGGTTCTCACGGGTTCTGAGTGTATCCGTGTATTTGGTAATAATATCCACTCTATAGGTATTTGAAGGGTAGTTTATGATTGTAGCGTGAAGAATAACCAATGGTGCCCGAGAATTGGGACTTGGTCGATGCCCAATTGTAATTCATTAAATCTATTATTATCATTGTACTTTTTTGATTTTGGTTTTATGTGTTTTTATTTTGTCTTCGGCTCCGTTGTTCTCGTGGGGGATACTTTACCAGTGGTATCTCTGTGTCTTGAATTGGCGCTAGTGAGGTGATGAGCAGTGCTATTGGCCTTGAAGCGGCTCGTGATCATGGCTCTGGAGGGTCAGGTACCTTAGGGTATGCATATAGGTGCATATTACTTTGTGTCTTTCTAATTGCTTTTTCTTTTCTCCCGTGGTTACTCTTTTTCTCGCGTCTCTCGATTGTCATGTCATATTGATAGATTGGTATGTATGAGAACACGAACCACAAGTCAAAGATATCACCGATATTACCCCGTCAAAAAACAAGACCAAATAACGAAGACATTTATATAACAGCGACAGTAACAGCAACAATAACAACAACAGATGATTCTTATGGCCACATCGCGACCGCAAAACGGCTGACACTTGTTTATTTTTTTATTTTATTTATTAGTTACCCGGCTACT